TGAAGAACTACAAACTGATCACACTTCTAAGTCACGTCTTCGTGTTGTTTTCGAGATTTGACAAAAATTACGATATTTAGCAACATGTCTTTTCTCCATGCCACGGGGTATCTTCAAGAGTTGTTAAACCTTAAAGAGGGGCAAAACGCCTGTTGAGTAATATTTGGTGGTGGTTGAGATATTTTTTGTCACTTGTACACAGATATCTTGCATCGTTATCAAATACTTTCTACTGTTTCAAAGATTTATAGATATTATTAGTTTTGAGCAGTCACTTAAAAAAAACGAATTTTATTGTTACAGGCTACCTATCACTTTGTGAATATAGAGATGCCGCCGAGAAATTTTCCATTGCCAATACCAGAAGGAAGAAACACACTGACACAAATTTTTTACATTACAGACACCCATGAAGTGTTATCAACGACCACATTGACTTTAATCGTTACATAATTTAATATTATTAATTACACATTGTATTTGTCTGTTTTTATATTGTGATTGAGTCTATATAATTCCAGTTATTTTTTTTAAGTAAAATCACAGCGTAATTAATCTATTGAGATAGCGAAACAAGTAGTTTAGTGGCGCAATATAAATTAAGATGTAATCGGTTGGTATGTATCTGTTTGTTTCTGAGATATTTTCCTTAGGAGGAGTTTAAAAATTTACTTATATAAATAGAATATAGTAATACCCATTATTTAATACTTTAATTTCTGATAGTCCTAATAACAATATAAATCTGCATTGGAAAATATTACGGTTTATACTAAAGATATATAGGAATAAATATTTATTATACTTGTGGTAATTATTTCAGGAGAAATAGTCGTATGTATTGTTTGGTCATAGGGCAGGCTGAAAGCAGACAACGACTCAAAATATTTTGTGATCGTTGAAAGTTAACGATATGTATCGCTATTTATAATACCCTCTCGTTTTCGCGTAGTACTGTTTATTATTGTACGGACTGAGGTTAACTGCATTTGTAGTAAAAATATCATTCTTCGATTTTTTAATACAAGAATATCCAATTTTGCAGAGTTAACAAAAGTTTATAGTATTATTTTATATTCAGAATTATCATAAAAATAGTTTCTCAGTTGGTTATGCAAAATTAGGTATCAAATACAAACGTCATATTGTACGCGTAATTCCGGAACTATAATTACTCGATACCAAATTCATTGGTGATTTATTTCAGCATTTGCGCTTTTTTAATTTATATAAATACAGGCTATTTTTTATTATTTAAACATTTATAAGTCATACAAATCACGGAACATAAAAGGTATCCCATAAATTATAAAAACATTTTTCTGTAAACCTCTTATTATTATTTCATTTAACAAATTTGCTGAGTAAAGAAATATTGAGCTCCAACAGACTCGCATACAACCCCGAGTTTTCTTTTTATTAAAACACTAATGCTGTAGTTCGTTCGAGTTCTCAAAACGATTCCATAGCAGCTCACCAAAGAGATTCTCGTGCTTATTACCTTGAATTATAAATCATTATTAATGTTTTCCGCAGATATTAATTTTCTCCCTTACAGTAATTTCTCAGGCTCCTTGCTGGAAGTGTCTTGCAATATAGTGTCCTGACTTATTTATAATGTGTGAAACTACGGCTAGATTAGATGGAAAAGTAGCTATAGTGACAGGTGGTAGTTAAGGAATAGGTCTAGAAGCTGCGAAAATCTAGCTAGTCGTCAAAAATTATTATTGCAAGAAGAATTGTAACCAAAGTTATGAATGCTAAGGATCACATTCAAAAAGTTACTGACAGCGGTAATATTGCATATTCTGAATTAAGCTTCCTTTTATAGATATAAGGATTTTACTAGAAATTCCATAATTAATAACTTCCTGATAAATGGACGGAAGATGGATTGAACTTTACGATGCAAGTCAATAGGGATGATGACTGGGTAAAAAAATGCAATTCTATTTAGTCCATCAGTCAGATAATAGTTAATATGTATCTAATATTTTATTAGATACATATTTTTTTTTACTTCAAATTAACAAGAAATAGATTAGATAACAGGCATTAAAGTTGAGGAGTGGGGGCTCGCTACGTCACAGTTGAGTAGAAAACGTACTCTAACGTGACGTCATGCGAAATTTCAACTCAATGTAACGCCGTAATTTTATAATTACGAAAAAAATAAAAAAATACGTCTTTAATATTTTTTAACACTCTACCTGACGGACAAACAAACAAAAATTAGTCATCATCCCTATTATTTCGGTGCATGTTAATTGACGTAATTATTGATACCTTTTCTAAAGAAGTCATCACCAAGCAAATTAATTATAAGAACTGCAGCGTCGATGTATTTTGATAATATGGATTTTGTCCATTGGAATGATATTTACCGGTATTCTAGGGTCGAGAGTCTAGCCAACTCCAAATTATCTGATGCTTTATTGGCTGTCGAGTTGAGTAAGAAGTTTAAAGATGCGGGTGTTACTGCGAATAGTTTGGATTCTTTCGTGGTACGTGATACTGATATTCTGTCCAATATCCCAGGATGGATAAGCAATATATCTTTTTACTTAAATGATTTAATTGGCCAAACTAAAGAAGAAGTTGGTAAACAAATTGATTGTTTAGCAGTAGATCAAGCATTGAATAATACCAGTGGAGCTAATTTTACGTATTGTAGTTAATGGATGAACCACTGGTTAGCGATAGATGAGGAACTAACTTAAAAAGCTTTGGGACGCATAAAAAAGCTGTCAAAATAAAAACAAAAGGAGATTGAGAGGCAAACTTATTATTATTTATTTTAATATTAACAAATACTAAAGCCATCTACGAATAAAGCTATCAAATTGTTTAGATGCCAGTCTAAATATATGTTTACATACAATAGAGAAGTAATTAAAACGAAAGTAATTATTTAAACCGGAATAGATGTTGATTGATACTTTGTAATGTTTACAACAAATTGGCAAAACGAGGTGGGTTCCAATTTGCTTTCTGGCGTAATAAAAGAGAACTGAATATCGAACATGAATAAATAGTTATCGTCCATTGTTTTAGTTCGTAGTAGTCTTCGTGATTCGTTCAATACCATAGTTCGAATGATAACTTTAACTTTAGATTGTCAATGTTAGTTTTAAAATCAAGTTTTTGAAAACTCTAATGGTTTTGTGTTAAGAATTGATATAAATATATCGAACACAATATTGTCCTATAATGACATCTATTTTAGTAGGATTTTATACTTATTCATTGATACTTTATAGAAAAGAATATTTCGCACAGCAAAATAATATCAATATAATATTAATAAACTAAAATTAATGAGAGCACACCAGAATTCAGTAATCATCGATTTGTTTATTTATTAAAACTATTTGGTTAGAATGATATGCTTTTAAATACATCTTATTTTGTATTTAGTGCTTTATTCTCTTGTCATATTATTTCACAAGATATCTTATTTTCATTGTCGCCTTATATTAAATCTTCAGTACTTTTATTCGACTGGAATCGATTTTAAAAAAGTAAATCATTGTGCGAGTTTCGGATTTCATAAAAAATATAGTTGGTTTATACTTTGCTCACCCGAACCTTAATTTCTTGTAATTACTTGAATACATTTACCTAACCGAATTTATTACCCGGATGCCGATTAAATACAGGACATTATGCGAGAACATGTACAAGGCCAACCATAATAATAAACCTTGTAGCTTCATTTGTGGCATCTCGCGCGTAAACAAGAATGTAAACAAAATTATTTAGTCTGCACGAAACAAAGGCATTGATCTAAAACAAAGCTATAAGAGTTCGATGACTTCAGAACAGCTGTTAGGCTTTTGTTTTAATTTTACTGCAGTGCTATTCAGTCAAACACAGCAATGTCGTAGCATTAGAGGTGCAATCGAATAAAACCTTTATTACCTTTTGAAGTAGGTTTTATTTGATTACTTAGATAATAAATCTTCTATTCTAATCTTAGTGATTCGCAAATCTATTTCGTATTTAACTGATTTATTTATCAAATATTAAGAATGAAATGGTGGAATATCTTTAGCAATGTGTACGTACAGTCAACAACATATCAGACTTTACAAAACTTTCACATTTCTGTATTTTATTTTAAACCTTTTTTTAATTTGACGTTTTTGGCAACGTAATGTGTTGCTGTGTATATTTGTAACAACAGTGTCGTGAATGAAAAATTATATAACTTCATTACTTTACTGAGGCGGTCGATGGCGCATCGGTATGCACGCTCGGTCTACAATACGTTTTTTAATCAACTTTCACAAGGGCCGGTTTTAGGATACCTGAAATTTACTATCTTGAACTCCTCCGTACTTCGGTAGGCACGTTAGGCCTTTATGTTCGACTGCATCTGCAGTCGTTAACACCCATTAATTCGCACTGGGTTATGGTCCAAATTTCCCTATTTAATTTGAATAGTAGTCTTTGTTATATCTCCAAATTCTCAGATTAACATAGTATCATTATTTGTTTTATCAACCAAGTCATATCCTTACACGTGAATCACGTATGCATAATGCATTATCTTCAACAGATATTTGTTTAGAAAAGTGATTTTACTTTTAAAGGAATTATTAGAAATGCGCCGAGTGTGAGTTGGGACGTCGAACTTTCTCGGCTGTTTGTTGAATCCTTTTAAGTCTGCTTTACGTAATTTTGATGTCTAGTCTGTATAATATATTACAATCATATTGTATATGTCGATAAAACGATGATTTTCACTATCATTTACCGAAGTTTATAAAATGCAAAAGGTAAATTATAAAGTACTTACTCATATAATTACCTCAAAAGCCGAGTGGCCTCACAACTTATGAGGTCCCAGGTTCTATTCCCGGTCGAGACTATGTAGAAAATGGAAATTTCTTGATAGTCTTCGTTATTTCGTTTTGAAATTAAACTGCAGTCCATTAAATATTAAACTCTCCTGTTTTGGTAACATTTTTCATTGCTGCTCCGCCAAGTCTTTCTCGATAAATGGACTATTCAACACAAAAAAATGGATAGTAATATTGTATTATAATTATATGCAATCGGGTCTTGTTCGTGCATTTTTTAAAACAATTAATTTACCTCGACGTTTCGGCTACGTTACAGCAGCCGTGGTCACGAGGAAAAAAAAAAAAAAAGTAATATTGTATTCTATTAAAATGTATTTTAAATTTAACTATATTTTAACTACTAATTAAATTCCCAATCTTCCTCATCAACGATCTTCACTAATCTCTTGGATGTATCCCACAATCGTTTTGTCAGTACTGTGTCATTAACACTCCAATGACTGTAGAAATCCATGCAGTCTCTAAAGTGAGCTCCACTGCGGTTTTCTAATTTGGGATCGAGTGCTAAATATACAGGCATCGTAGCCACTCTATCTATGGGGCGTCCAAAAATCTGCAAAGCACTGTTAAGCAATCCCTTCCAAAACTCGTTGTCAGAGTTCCTAAAGAATTCTGATTTAGATAAACCTGGATCCATACTATACACGTTAACACCTGAACCGTTCACGCGTCTGTTCATTTCAACTGTAAACAAAACAGCAGCTAACTTAGCGTTGCAATAGAAACCAAAATTGGAGTATCTGCCGACATCATTCATATGATCCAAGTTAATGTCACCAAATAGTAAAGCTAGGGATGAAATGTTGACTATTCTGCTTGGTGCTGATGATTTCATTAAAGGGAATAACAGAAAAGTGAGAAGGAATGCTCCGAAATAGTTCACTTGCATCATAAGTTGTAGATTGTCTTCGGTAAGTTTGTCTTCGAGTCCTATAGCTCCAATGTTGTTTATGAGGATATCAAGACGTGGTTCAGTAGCTATCGTTTCGTGAGCGAACCTTCTAACTGAAGCTAATGATTCGTAATCCATCTGTCTTGCGATGATGTTTTCATTGGCTGTCGTTCGTATAATATCTTGTTTAGCTGTATCTAGTTTGCTAGGATTGCGACTGGCAATGATAACCTTGGCGCCGCGCTTTGCCAAATTTCTGGCTACTTCCAAGCCAGTCCCTGAAGTAGCACCAGTTACGAGGGCTACTTTGCCGTTCAGACGGACATCTGTCTCACAATTTTCAAACTCGTCACGTAAATACATTTTAAGGAGAGTAAAGGTTTTTAAAAATGCGTTAGCATAAACACAAGGTATCGTTTCAACTGAGTATGAACACGCCGAATGCAAGGTTGCGAGAAGGTCTTAAAGCGGTCTTATTTAACCTCATTAAAATAGCATATATAACATGTAACGTCACTATATATTTAGTATAAATCATAATATACATTTTTAAATAAGTATCAAAGATTAATGGAAGCTAATATCGTAACATTTTTGAGAATTGGTTAATAAATTTACAGATGCATAAACTGAGCGTATTTTTTTTTTCAAATTAACTTTATATATTAATTCTTGTTATGCGGTGAGGTTCAGATAGTTTCAGAAACACATATCTATTTATAACTAGTAGAAATACTACAACGCATTAAAACTACGATTAGATACATATAACAACAGAGTAATTTTATCTTAAACCAAATTTATAATTGAGATTTTGTTTTAGTACTGAAAGTGCTTCAATAGAATTGACACCGTTATAACTGAAGAATCGGTAACCTACTTGTATAACTGCGAATCTCACGTTCTGTTTCACATCCATTGTAAAGGTTCAATTATTACAGTAAGCCATTAGTTAATCGTTCATTGCGAGTTGGACCATTTTGTAATTTTAATTAAAGTTTAACTCCGATATATTTTATCTTTGGCAACCGATTTTCAATGTAGTAATTTTAATAGACCTAAAGTTAGGTCGTATATTTTCCACATTGTTTATAAAAACATCACAGTCTCTTTGTAATAAGTTTAACAATCTCTCAAAGAAATATAAATTAAATGTAACTAATTTCCATTTAGAGTTATTTGGTGTTTCAGCATTTTCCTTTTGTAAAATTTTAAATGTTCATAACAGTGACACATGTTGATAAACTGAAACATAAATCAAAAAATCAAAACACAATTTTAGTACTCTGTGCTAATTTTTAAATGTACCTAACCTTTTTGATGTCAATCACAGATCGTACAGCCAACGATTTGTTGAAGTTTATACGCAATATACATATTAATGCGAAAACATTTCATTTTCCGGTGTATTAAATTATTCATAATTACATATCATCTCAAAATGCTTGTAAAGTTGTCACCGATGCATAACAACTAAACTGAAGAAGTATATTAGGTTTGCAGTTGTTTTTGTACTCATCAATATGCAAAACTTTTGTAATAAAGTGACGTAATAAGGCTGATGAGCTGTTTTAATTAAGTTAAATATGATCGCTTGGGGGCCTCCTTGCGACCTTGTATATGATTTGTGCGTACTCAGTTGGCTCAGTATCTTATAACTACACTAACGCGTAACTGAAGTCACATTTAACACTGTAAAATGTACTTACGTGATGAGTTCAAAAATTGTGAAACGAATGTCCGTTTACACGGTAAAGTAGCTCTCGTAACTGGTGCTACTTCAGGTTTGGGCTTGGAAACAGCCAGAGACTTGGCAACGCGCGGCGCCAAGGTCATCATCGCCAGTCGCAATCCTGGTAAATTGGAAACTGCCAAGAGAGATATTATACAAACATCTGGCAATGAGAATGTTATCGCAAGACAGATGGATTTCGAATCATTAGCATCAGTTAGAAGGTTCGCTCACGAAACGATAGCTACTGAACCAAGACTTGATATTTTGATAAACAACGTTGGTGCTATAGGACTCGAAGACAAACTTACTGAGAATAATCTGCAACTTATGATGCAAGTAAACTATTTCGGAGCGTTCCTTCTTACTTTCCTATTATTCCCTCTGATGAAATCATCAGCACCTAGCAGAATAGTCAACATTTCCTCCTTAGCTTTACTTTTTGGTGACATTAACTTTGACCATATGAATGACGTCGGCAGATATTCCAACGTTGGTTTATATTGCAACGCCAAGTTAGCTACTGTTTTGTTTACTGCTGAAATGAATAGACGAGTGAACGGTTCAGGGGTGAATGTTTATAGCATGGATCCAGGCTTAATTAAATCGGAAATTTTAAGGAACATCGATGACGACATTTGGAAGTCATTGCTTAATAATTTTGTAAGGATTTTTGGAAGGTCCACCGACAGAGTGGCTAAGATGCCCGTCTATTTAGCAGTCGACCCCAATTTAAAAAACTTTAGTGGAAGCCACTTTAGGGATTGCATGGAGTTCTACAGTCATTGGAGTGTTAATGACACGGTACTGACGAAACAGTTGTGGGATATATCCAAGAAACTTGTGAATATTGTTGACGAGGAAGATTGGGAATATTGACAGTAGTGAGTGATTTAAAAATTATAATAATATTCAAGACTAGTACCGTTATCGTCACCACATCTTGGGAACTCATTAACGGAAAAACTTGAGTCTTTCGAAGCACGGAAGAGTTCGAGGTAATACATTTCTGGTCATCCGTCCTATGATCAACCCTTTTGATAGTTACTTATTCGTCCCTATCATATATATATATATATATATATATATTATATATATATATTCGATAGAGCATATTCGTCTCTCAAAGGCCGGCAGCACGCTTGTAGCCCCTCTGGCGACGGTAATCACTTACCATCAGGTGATCCGTACGCTCGTCTGCCCCCTATCCCATAAAAAAAAACTTCCGCATTGCTGACCAAAACCACTAACTACTACGCCATCAAGCTCCTTTACAATATACATTTATGGAATACATAAGAAAAGATTCACACTTACTTACCCGAATACACACACAAAAGGAGAGTGTCTGTTAGAATCTTGAGTTATTTTTGTTAGATAAAAGGTGTATATTATGTTCTTACACAATCGAACGTACAAATTGTTATAAATAATAATATCCGGTGGCCGGAATTTAAATCTATATATATAAGATGTATTATCATTATGCGTCAGGACTTCGTGGTGTGGCTGAGTTGGGTACACTTAACAACTTTGTCTTTTACTATAGGAGTAACACTGAATAGAAAAAATAATCAGTTGTTTCATGGTGTTGGCTATTGTGGGTATTACAATTTTGTGTGAAACAGATTGTGAATTCGGTGTTGTTGTTGTTTCTGTTTTAAGTAAACAATTTATTATTTTTCATTTTTTTTTATTTGGCAAATAATTCGAATAAAATTGGTCTAAATATTAGTAACTTGGTACCTTAGTACAATCTCGCCTTATTTCGTACGAGTTATAAAAACAAATCACGCATCCGTGGGTAATATCGGATAATATAAATAAGTTTAATAACTAGACAAGCAACTCCATACAACAGACGCACCAAAATACTAACCTTTTCTGTAATCAGGACGAAGCTTTGCAAATAACATTCATACTATATAATATGAATAGATTTAGTATGTTTGTTTCCCTCATATCTACGATTAAACTTTAAATTAAACAACGTCCGAATATGTGCGAGTGACAGATTAAATGGAAAAATGGGTAATTGATACTGTATTGCTATCTGATGAAAATTTTACCCCTTATAAAGAATTAATGAATGAACGAGTAATGAAGATATATGTATAAAATCAATTAGTTAAATATTGTAAATTTGAAAATTTATTAAATATATCTATTCAATATCGAGAAAATAATCATTTGCCGTCTTTTATCATTTATATTAGAAGACCTAGAAATAAAACTAGTTGAAATGATGGGTGCATAAAATTAGTCTCCAATACAATTCCCGGTTTTGTTTCAAGATTACGTGAACATAAACGGATTACATTCGAAAGAGCAGTAAGTGTTTGAATTTTATCGCAATGTATCTTGTCAAATATTGCAACTGAATTTTAAAACACATTTTTAGTCTAGATGGCAATGCAAAGTTAGTTAAGTGATATTATTTTAAATCTTATATGAGGGGCGCCCTAAATGCGGCTTGATATTATTATATCAATAATTAGAGTATACTGAAAAAAGAAATTGTACACTTTCATGATATGAATATCAAATGGTTGGCAAAGAATTCTTTTTTGTCATTTAAAATTCAATATGGCGGCCCGCCGAAGATGGTGGAGTAATTATCTATAAACAATCTCATAGCTCTCTATATCATAGGATATCAAATGAAACTGTTAGTCGAAAAGATAATTGTAAAAACCTGATTTAATTGTAATTCCAATATGATGGATGCAGGCCGTCTTGTGAACAAAGATATGAAATCCTAATGAGCTGTTATATTTAATAATGAGATCATTACATGTTCAAATTTAAGCAAAATAAATTCGTCAGAAAATATTCCTCTTAAAGAAAATTTATGAGCATTGTTATTAACCTAAAATATCAATATAGCATTTTGCATGTAAGCTTCAAATAGGTATAATATTCGCCAAAATATGTTTTATATTATATACTCTTTTAATATTATAAGTATTGGATTAATTAAATGTATTATTTAGTTTTTATTTGTGAGCGCAAAGGAACGTTTTCATACGTGTGAATGAAAAGGGAAGGAGTATGAGGTGAACGAGAGGAAAGACGAATGGAGGACAAAAGACGGAAGACGGACGTACAATAAGAAGATCAGCGGTGTCGATAAATATTTATTTTTGAAGAAATATACGTAATTTCAAGCAACGACCGCTTTTATTTTTCCCCACATTTGTTACATTTATTAGATACTATGAATGAAGTTAAACTATTAGTTAACAGATCTTTAATATAATTAATGTACGCTAGGTTTTCCTGCGACTTCGTCCGCTTGAATTATAGCCTATGTCACCTACGTATTATGTACCTTCCCTTAGGCGAACGAATTTTCAAATGAAATAAATCATTATTTATTTTTCTTTTCATTATTATTAGTATAGATCTATCATAAAATTAATAATATAGACATAACCAAGATACGCTATCAGAAGTACCACTTATCAAGATATAGAGACTTATAATATTGATTAACTAAATTTACTTAGGTGACACAACCTGGCTTTTATGGTACCCATGTTATAAATTCCTACAATTTATAACATAGGTACCGTAAAAGCCAGGCTATAAAAGCCAGTAAAATGAGAACTCCCACCAACATCAAAAGCAACAAATAATTGAGAGATTCGGTAATATTGCTAGGTTCTGGATAACTCAATTAGTAGACCAGTCCCTCTGCAAATGGTTAGAGGTTTGAATCAGGGTTTGATAAAGGGATTAAATTTTTAAATACTTTATTATTTCGATAAACATTTAGAATAGAATAGAATAGTATTTTTATTTGGCAACACATAGCACATACACAATTCATATACATTTTACAATTATGATAGAAAAATTACAAGAAATAAAAACAAAAAAAGAAATAGAAATATGATAAGGACATTGAGATAGAAATAATAATTAATGTGTCATGATGTGTGTTGCCAAGCTGGCCTCAGCTCAGTATAAAGCAGTAAGTGGGTGCTTACTGTACTGATATTCTGCAAAGGCCAGCAAATGTACCGAATTTGCTGGTTTATATGATGTCTATGAAAATGTATAAATTAAAGTATTTGTAGGTCCAATATGCAAGAGTATTGAAGTGGGTAAGAGGCCTACTGCATGGTATGAGACAGACAGACTTGTAGTATATGAGGCTGAGTACTAGTGAAAAGTGCTATATTTATTTTAGTGTTGATAATCTATACATATATAAAAGGAGATGTCCTGACTTACTGACTGACAGACAATGCACTTTAGGCTGCTGGTCGTAGAAACTTGAAATTTGAAGGGAACATTCCCCTTAATACGTAGAGGTGTACTAAGAACGGATCTTTGGAAATTCATCCCGGAGGGGGTCAAAAAGGCTGATAAAGTTTGTATGAAATTTCTTTGTTTATAAACCTATGTCTTTGTCTCTGATTTTGTAAGCGCAATAATAAGTGAATGTTTTGTATGTCTGTAATTGTCATATATATCAGATATTGTATTGTAAAGGTTAAATATGTATAATGTTGACTAAATAAATAATAAATAAATGTCGATGATAATTGGTATTTGGGTAGTCAGGAAGGTAATAGGTTATAATTTATCCTGGAAATTAGCACTATAAAAATGGAAATGAAAGATTTTATTGGGAATAAAAATGATACCATAGCAACCTTTGTTTAAAATCTGATTTGTCATTGTAATAAATTTACTTAATACTATTTACAAAATGTTTTATTGTATAGCGATGAAAATTGGTATTTGAGTAAATATTACATTATTGAAATTTTAATGGATAAAAATGATCAAATTCAAGTAATTTTGTTTACGAAAGAAAAAATATTTTTATATTATGTGTAATATATGAACCACTAGATGGCGTTTAATAAATTCTAAATAGCAGATTTTTTTTTGCCTAGAAAATTTACCTAGAATAACTTTTTCGCCGCTGATGGCCAGTATATTCTAAATCGCATTATTATTTTGATCAAAGAACTCTGCGCAGGCTTTAAATAAAAAACGTGAATATGTTTCTTCAAGTTTAGATTAAAGAAATTGAAATTATTTATGTTTTTCGTTTCATCAGTTATTAATTTATTGAGGATAAGTATTGCTAAGTCTTAACCGAAGAACCTTCCAAGTTGATATTTTCACAAATAATTTAATATTCCATTCAAATAATGTAAGCACCTTATTATAGGTTTCCAAGTATATTTGTCGTGGCCAGATCGTAGAATTGACCTATTCATAATGCGGCCAGCCATTCATGAAATGTTTGTATTTCATGAAACGGAAAAATCTTGCTGCCCACATCATGATATGGCCTGGCCAGATCAATGAATGATTTGCGTTTTACGATATGGGCAACTGATAGTATGACTTCTTCATGATGTGGCCAAGAGTAAGGGCGCTTACGCACTGCACTGAATTTTCAGGTCCAGCGGTCCAATTTTTTCCGGTCCGGAATTACATGAAAAACCCGGAGGAGTAGCTTGTGCATTTGTCCGTTTTTTTCCTAATCGGAGCGGCGCAGTGTAGGGCAGCTCTCTTTGAAGCTACATGTCACTTACGCTAGGTACCATGAGATTTTTGGAACGTCGATAATTGCTTGATTTGTTACTCTACGCACATTGCGAAGACGTAGAAAAGTACCTAAATAATGACCCGATCATTTGCATACACCATAATAAATTGAGGCAAGACGAAAGTATTTTTTTACAACTATCGGATTACTACTATTAGATGTAAAAACTTATAACCTAGCCAATTTAGGAACAGCATTATTCACATACAATAGCTAAAAATACTCGTATCTGTGACATTAGAATAAAATTACTGATAATGTTCTAGTACTTAATGTTAAAAAATTTAAAAACGTGCTACTTTTT